TCCTACAATTGTTGCCATATTAAACAATGCTGGAATAAACATCCTTCTACATAGGTCTTTGTGAACATGAGCAAATATTTCGCTATGATACATTCCCAGATGCGGAATTCTGGGTCAAAGGGTGAGATATTTTAAATCTCGATAGATGTAATCAAACTGTCCTCTTTAGAGAATGTACCACTTTATACTTCTCACCAACAATATATCCTCACCAACACTGGCTGCTATAAATCCTTTTAATTTTCGCCAATTTTAATGAGTGAAAGTGTCACATTGTTCACGTTTCTTATTACTGTACAGGCTGAACACTTCACAAATGTGTATTGGGTACTTGCATTTCTTTTATAAACAGTCTATACATATTTGCGAGCTAGATTTTCCCTGTTGCCAAAGAGCTGAAGTCAGACATATTGTTCAATAATGGTGCTTTATCCTCCAGAATAGTGTGATTACCCTGCTGCCCAATGTTTGTAAACATTCCCTTAAATGCAAGCATTAAGAGGAGTATTTGTCTAAGTTCTTCCTGAACAGTGATATGATCCCTGAGTATGAAAGTCAATGGTTCAGCACAGAACTAATTTTCTCTGCTCTGGCAAGACCCTACCTTATAAGAGTCACTGGCAGCAGCACAGCCCTTCCCTGTTGTGGAGCCTGAGGCACAAAGAAAACTCTATGGAGATGAGATGCCGTGTCTGCTCCTGCCTGTGGGACTTCACTGCCACTAACTTCCATCTTTGCCCAAATCAAATCAGCGGCGCTCAGTGTGCTCATGAGTCTACATGAGTCCTCTTCCTGCTAATCTTTAGCCCATCTAAAGTGATGCAATATGCATTTTGTCCCATTTCTATCTTACTGATTTGTACTAGGAATATTAATCTTTCACATTTCATGTAAGTTTTAATTATTTTCTCTCAACCTATCATCTTTTAAATCTGTAATCTCCTTGGCTGTAAGTTTTGAACTTTTTATGTATCAGATCTACCAACTTTTCCTTTAGGCCTTTGGGTTTGTTTTGCCTTCCTCATCCAAACTTTTAAAATAATCCCCTAAGATTTCTTTGTTCATAATTTTGTCTCAATAAAATATCTTAAATAAGGTTTTAAATAAAAGATCTTTTATCCCCAAATGGCTCACGATTTTGACTAAAAAAGTCTATTCTTTTTCTCACTGACATAAAATGCTGCCTATAGCATGTATTATTAAAATTTTATATCTGGTTGTAAAGTTTGTTCCAATGATTGATCTACTTCAGCATCAATACCACACTTCTTAAATTGTGGCTTTATCATATGTTCTAAAACATGTCAAGTCTCCCATCATATTATTTTAAACAAGTTTATTTACTATTCCCCCCAACCCCGTCAAGAACACTTACATTTTTATTCAGTCACTTATTTATTTATTTACCTGTGCTGCGCGGCTTGTGGGATCTTAGTTCCCCGACAAGGGATTGAACCCAGGGCCTCGGCAGTGAGAACGCAGAGTCCTAACTAATGGACTGCCAGGGAATTCCGGTTTATTTATGATTCTTGTGAATCTTACTTTTCCAAATCTTTAATATCAACTGGACAAGTTCTTTAAAAAACCTTATTGGAATTTTTATTCAGAATGCACTGAATTGGGCTTCCCTGGTGGTGCAGTGGTTAAGAATCCGCCTGCCAATGCAGGGGACACGGGTTCGAGCCCTGGTCTGGGAAGATCCCACATGCCACGCAGCAACTAAGCCCGTGCACCACAACTACTGAGCCTGTGCTCTAGAGCCTGCGTGCCACAACTACTGAGCCTGCGCACCTAGAGCCTGTGCTCCACAACGAGAAGCCATCACAATTAGAAGCCTGCGCACAAGAGTAGCCCCCGCTCACCACAACTAGAGAAAGCCTGTGCACAGCAAGGAAGACCCAACACAGCCAAAAATAAAAATTAATTTAAAAAATAATAAACTATAAAAAAATACACTGAATTTATAGGTGGAAAAAAAGGAGTCATCTGTACAATATTGAGTATTCTCATCTAAGAGTACTGCCTATTTTTTCATTACTCATATGCTCCTCTCTTGTCCTTCAACAAATTAGTTTTATTCATGTATATCTTGCATAATCTTATTAAATGTATACCTGCTAAGTTTATACCCATGGCATTTTCTGATTTGTGTGTCTGTGTGTACATGTGTGTGGTGTAAACTAATTAGTAAATTATTTAGTAAACTAATAATTTTTGCATGTTTATTCTGAACTGTCACCTCACTGAACTCTCATAGCAGTTCAAGTTTTTCAGTTTCTGGGTTGTATTTTCTAGGCAGACAATCTTATTATACCTTGTAAGTAACGTTCTGTCGCTTCCATTCTCAATATTTCCATCTCATTTGCTAAGCCCCAGAGAACAATACTGTAGAATTCAAGCGGTAGCTGATATTCTTGACTTGTTCCAGACACTAATGAGAATATAGAGAAGCCAAACAATAATATGAATTCTGGTGCAATGCAATTGATGACTACTTCCCAACCCTCTGAATTTACCCTTGTTATTTCATTAACCTCACAACCCCACATTTTACCCAACTGAAACTTTATCCCACCTATAGCATTATGGAAGGATGTTACTGTGCTCCAATGTTTCATCATTAAAAACAGTGATTCTGATAGTTCTCTAAGTACCTTATATCAAGTTAATAGTGTCCTTCTCTACATTACCTACTTTTAAAAATTTTTGAATTGTATCAAATACATCTTCAAGGTATGCTTTTTCCTTTCACCTCTAAAAGCTCCAGGTACATACAAGAATGCATTACTCTTTCAATAGAATGCTGGACTTAAGTTACTAATATTTTAGTGTGGATTTTATAACTTTGTGAGAATGGTCTCTAGTGGTTTGCTTTTGCTTTGTTTTTGGTAGTGTTCTCTCCATGTTTGGGCAGCAAGGATATAATAATTTTGAACGATGAATTAGAATGTCTCCTTTTTTGCTTCCTTTTTGTGTCCTACATTCTGGTACAAATTAAACAACAGGAATTACCCATTCCTTGTATTGTGAGTTTGTGGAAATTTCTGCAGACGAAATTTTTTAATAACCTCAGTTTCTTGATTATCAATATTTTAAGGGTATCTGCTTCATCTCTGGTAATTTAAAGAATTTTTATGTATTTCCAGAGAAGCATCCATTTCCTTTCACCATATTAAATTTTTCTGGAAATAGAATTTCAGAAGTTTTATGGGAGTGCAGCTATTTGCACACTCTTATTAAAAGAAAAATTCTTTTTTGCTCTGCAAAAACCAAAAACACACACACACATCATCATCATCTTTGGAGGTTACATACAAAGAGTGAAATAGTAGAGTGAGCTTTCTAGGTCAGCCTGGAAATCATTTGGAAGATGTCAAAGCTACTGTCCTGATGCCCCCCATTCCTGTGAGATGAACTTTATAATTTATCAGAGTGGTGCATAGCATTCTCTCTTACAAAAAGGTTAACTCTGGCTGTGTTGAGAATAGACTGCAGTGGGGCAAGTGTGGAAGTGAGGAGTTGTTACAGGGCTATTCAGGGTTGAGAGCCACTGGTGGCTTGGACTAGGACAGTAGCAGTGCAGATGGTGAGAACTGGTCAGATTCTGAAAATACCTTAACAGGAGAGCCAACAGGATTTACATATACAGTGTACTTTCATCAATAACCTCGCATTACAGGCAGATTCTCAACCAGGTACAACTTTTGCTGAAAATCACTGTTCTATGAAAACAAGGCCCACTGTTTTCATATTCGCGTATTCCCATTTACACTAAGCACAGTGCTTTGCAAATTTCTTGAAATTCATGTGGATGTTTGAAATAGAAAAGACTTCTGGTTTCAGTTCTGACATGAGATCAATTACAATAAATTAGTGAACTTGGGTCTTATGTTACTCCAGAATTTCTGGTAGAAGGTGCTTACAAAACACATGGGGACATGTTAGACATAAAATTAATGTTTGGATTAAAACCTTGTTTCATTTAAGTGTGTTCTCCATGCTATAACACAACCCTTCAAAGTCAAGAAGTATGTAACATTAATATGTTTCCCCAAAACTTATAAACTTACCTAACAACCAGAGCCACAGCTTTTAAACTTCTACAAGGCAGCATGTCCAATGCCCAAAAGAGCACAAGGTTACAACTGTGGCATCAAGTCCCACATTAAATGAAAATTTAAGAAAAGCAAACAAGATTATTATCAGACTACCAAACCTTAGTAAGATTCTGTTATTCGATACTCCTACTTCTCAACTCTCTAAATTTGTTACTCAACACAGGGGAGCTTTAAAAATTAATGCCTAGGCTCCACCCAAAGCCAATTAAAATCAGAATCTCTGTGGAGCATCTATTGTTTTTTAAGCTTCCCCAACAATTCTAATGTCAGCCAGAGTTAAGAACCACTGCTTTAACAAAATTTTATGAAACAAAAATAAACAAAAATTAAAATGCATAACACAGGAAAAGTGCAGGAACACGGAGAATAAGTTAAAAGTGAAAGGGCTCACCCTTTGCTGTATAACATTTTTTGCCTCCTGAAAGTTCCAAAGATCACTAATATTTGAATCTACATCATAACCTTATCAACTAAGCAGTTAAGAAAAAACATAAAATAAGGCCTGGAAAAGATCTTTGTTACTTAACTAAAATCACCTGGTGTTAAAAGTACTTTCCAATGGGGGAATGCTGTAGGGTTTCGGGCGTAAAGCAATGCAGAAACAATCGCAGGGCATCACAGGGAGAGGATGAGAACTTCGGGCTCTAGCTTCCTGTGTTCTAGTCCAGAAAAAAAGGGGAGAGAAAGGAGTGTCCATGGGAACAAGCCCTCATGCCTGAAAGGACAATTTTATTTGAACCTATTAATTTGTCACTCAAAAAGATAAAAGCAACATAAAATATGGGGTAAAGGGAAGTTGGTCTTCAAGAATTTGTCTTCAAGTTTTTACTGATAACAATAATCCTTCAAGCCTGGAGCTACTCAAAGACGAATCATGAAAAATAAGAAGAAAAATTTTATTTCAAACAGATTCAGTGGTATGTGTGCTACAGCAAAGGCTGGTTGTAGCAGTTTCCTTTCAAACCTGCACTGATGTATAAATTAGATGTTATTTGGGAATGATTAATTTCTGGTAAAATGTAGATTCAATCCAACATTATGCCAATTTTTACATTTATTGTAGACCCTATTTTAGTACTAGAGGTTAAATTTTCATCACCAAAAAAGGAGAATAACCTTACAGCTACTCCTAAGGTCATGAGCTGTGAAATTAATTCCTCACTATTGCTTTGAAAATATACCCCTAGGTTGTTAAGAGAAATTCCGACTTCATCCAAATCTGTTATTTAATTCTTCAGTCATCATCTACTGTTGGCTTGATTGTCACTCCTCTTCTTATTTGACCCCAACCAATTAAACTGCAAAATAAAAATAAAAGAAATCATGAATTTTATATCCATTTCATTATCATTACCACACAATCACATGACGTAACTAGTTTTACTTGCCTATCTGCTAAATCTAAATTTGTTTCCAAAACCTGCTCCTCCAGAAAGAAAGCTCACGTTATCTTCTTAGACTCAGAGAGATGGGCTCTAGCCAGAAGGAATGATAGGAAAGGCAAACAAAAAGGTGCTAGTATAAATATGCTCATCTTCACTCTTATCAAAATATACCTGCCCCTCAGAACCACTAATGAAGCAACTTCCAGTCCGCCCAAGGAACCATGCTGATACACAAACCACCTCAGTCTGACATTTTTTTAAAATTTCATTCTCTTTTCCTCTTTGAAAAATGTTTTTGTTTTGTTCTGTTTTGTTTTTTAACCATTCACAGCACTTCAAAAGATCACCATGGCTTGCTTTATCATGACTTTAGCTGGTAAAGGAAATTAAGAGAAGACCTAGAGGACTAGATAATCTATAAACAGATTACTCTCAAGAGCAGAGGGATTTCTGCTCCTTCTCTCTTTCAATGTCTGTTCTAGTCACTGGTCAGGCCAGACTGCTACCTCAACCGTAGCTTCTAGAACAGAACTTACCTAAGCATGGGTTAAAAACAACAAATCTAAAGAATATAAGGATGGTTCAGATGCTTCCATTTCTTTTAACATACTTGATAATTTTTTTTTTTTTTTTTCTTGCGTTATGCGGGCCTCTCACTGTCGTGGCCTCTCCCATTTGCGGAGCACAGGCTCCGGACGCGCAGGCTCAGTGGCCATGGCTCATGGGCCCAGCCGCTCCGCGGCATGTGGGATCTTCCCGAAACGGGGCACGAACCCGCGTCTCCTGCATCGGCAGGCGGACTCTCAAGCACTGCGCCACCAGGGAAGCCCAATACTTGATAATTTTTAAGCAACGTATAAAATTTCATTTGGGTAGAAGCCTTTATAATATTAGTAGACAGGGACCTCACTGGTGGTCCAGTGGCTAAGACTCTGTGCTCCCAATGCAGGGGGACCGGGTGCGATCCCTGGTCAGGAAACTAGATCCCACATGCTGCAACTAAGAGTTCACGTGCCATAGCTAAAGCTCCCGCACGCAGCAACGAAGATCCTGTGTGCCACAACTAAGACCTGGCGCAGCCAAATAAATAAATAAATATAAAAAAAATAGTACACAGACACAAAAAGGTCATTCCTTTCTTTTAAAATACACTGTAAATCAGTATGTCTATAACAGCAAATAGTATAATCACACAAGAGTAAAATCAAGCAGGCATAAATCACCACAAAGAAGAAATGATTTACTTAAAAGAGAATAAAAAGTTTAACTCTGTCTAAATTAGAGAGTAATAATAATAATTCATATCTTCTGAACAGTAAATGGTGAGAGACCATCCTGAGGCACTGTACCAGGGGAGCCTTAATAAGGGAGGTAGGTAATGAGAAAAAAACAAAGCCAAGGGTGATTTGAGTAATCATGGGGACAATCAGGACACAGAACAGTCTAATTTAGAGGGTTTATATGAGACAAAGCAGGAGAAACTTAAAATTCGTTCAAGCAGGCTTCCAGAAAGGTCCTGAATATCAGAAAGTAGTGGGAAGCTACTAAAAATTACTGAGTACAGCATGAAAAAATGTTTTACGAAGATTAATTTTGACTGAGTGCTTAAGTAACAGTGGAAGAGGCAAATTAGGAATTTTTTGCAATAACTTTTATGTGTGAAATGATGGTGGTATGGGCTATAATGAGGTCACACAGAATAGTAAGGAAACAGTAGATTTCAGTAACTAACCAGGAAAAGAGAAAAGAGACAGGAGTCAACAATATGTGCATGTTTCCTAGCTTCATCCACTCGAAGTGTCCCGAAGTAACAGCACCTTAGGAGCAACAAGCACACCTAGCACCCGTATCTGCATTTCTAATACCATTTTCCACTAAGAGGAACCAGGGCCCCCTCAGGAGAAATGACCAATTCTAAACTGGAGCAGGGGAGAGGTACAAGATGACTCCAGAACATCTTGTGCCACAAAGTAAGGAATCAAAAAAACAAAAACAAAAACAAACCCAATGGGGAAATATTGAGGCTTGCCCAAGTCCCAACCTGTCCATGGGGCTGCTATCTGCTTTGTAAAACAAAGCAGAGGGTTTGTCTTCTAAGAAAAGTCATCTTCTCTGAAAAAGCCTCTTATGTAGTTGGCTTTGGCATCTTCCCAAGGTAGGAGGGCAGGGACTGATTCTGGGTTTTCAGTTGAGGTAGAGAAGACAGTGGCTATTACCAGAAAGTCCAGAGTGGGATGTAGTTACCTCCAGAATGCATCACTGCTAACCTAGCCTGGGTTTCATGACAGTCATAGAAATGGATTCGTTAATAAAATAATAGGTTAAAAAAAAAGAGGGGAAATGTCAAAAGGACATAGGAGTCACCTAAAGGGTCTCTACTGGACAAATCCTTGACAATTTGGGTATCAAAATAAATAAAAACAGGTTATCACCTCACACCAGTCAGAATGGGCATCATCAGAAAATCTACAAACAACAAATGCTGGAGAGGGTGTGGAGAAAAGGGAACCCTCTTGCACTGTTGGTGGGAATGTAAATTGATACAGCCACTACAGAGAACAGTATGGAGGTTCCTTAAAAAACTAAAAATAGAACTACCATACAACCCAGCAATCCCACTACTGGGCATATACCTGAGAAAACCATAATTCAAAGAGTCATGTACCACAATGTTCACTGCATCACTATTTACAATAGCCAGGACATGGAAGCAACCTAAGTGCCCATTGACAGACGAATGGATAAAGATGTGGTACATACATACAATGGAATATTAGCCATAAAAACGAAATTGGGTCATTTGTAGAGACACGGATGGATCTAGAGACTGTCATACAGAGTGAAGTAAGTCAGAAAGAGAAAAACAAATATGTGTATTAATGCATATTCGTGGAACCTAGAAAAATGGTACAGATGAACCGGTTTGCAAGGCAGAAATAGAGACACAGATGGAGAGAACAAACTTGGCGGGGTGGGGAGGTGATGGTGGGATGAATTGGGAGATTGGGGTTGACATATATACACTAATATGTATAAAATGAACAACTAATAAGAACCTGCTATATAAAAAATAAATAAAATTCAAAATAAATAAAATAAATAAGAACAGTAATGAATCATAACCTACTGAATAAAATAGGATGCCATGAGTGAGTATTATAACTAGATAAGTAAATAACAGGACAGAAACAATGACAAATGAAAAATGAGGAGTGGTGGAGCTGGGGGATGGGGATCACCATTTTGTAAACACTATAATCAAGCTCAGTTCAGACAAAAATCATCAGTGGATGCTAAATCCAGTGGGATGGGATTTGATGAGGAGCAGGCTATTTGCATAGAGTCGCCCCACAGAACGCTTATTTGCAAGGGTAAAAAAGAGTAACTATATAGTGGAGAAACTGGCTAACACCTTGGCTGCATGATCAAAATTAACCTCAACAAGGAGGAATCAGATATCATGGGTCTCTGGCTGTGACTCCCTAAGGAGAGAATCACCAGCTACACGAAAGTATTCCAACCAAGAATACGTAACCTGAATCTAATCTTAGGAAATACCAAGTAAACCCAAACTGAGGAGCAGTCTAGAAAGGAACTAGCTTGTATTCTTCAAAATTGCCAATGACAAGACAAAGAAAGGCTGAGGAAGTTCCAGATTAGAGATCAAGAGACATGAAAACTAAATGCAATGCATGATCCTAGATGGGGGACACAGAGGACATTACTGGAAGAAGTGATAAAACTGGAAAAGACTGTAGATTTCAGTATTTTAACAATGTTAAACTTGTGAAGTGGTTATATAAGAGAATATCCTTGTTTTTAGGAAATATACACCAAAGTATTAAGACATCAAGGGGCAACCTATTCCTCAAATGGTTCAGAAAAAGATAAGGGAGATATTAAACCTAAGTTCGCTGGTTTTCGCATAGGTTGTGTCTATCACAAATCAGGCCTAGAAATATAGATTTCTAAGTCAATCGAATAAACAGTTGAGACTTGAAACCACAGTATAGTAACTGCTGCGTTCAAGGTAAAGTATGTTTGTGCATGTGTTAAGAAAACTGATTCTGTCTTTTTTATTAGGCACTGACAAAGGCTAATAAACTTACCGCCAGTGTTTCTCAACTCTTCGGCTAAGTGCAATTTTTTCTCCTACTTCTGTGCACACAGGATTAGTCAAAACAATTTTGCCCAGATCAGCCTTGACTGCACTAACTCTTCCTCCTGTCGACAGGGATCCTATGTTCACCATAAGCACTTCATTCTTAGACAGCTTTTGCACCTAGGGAAATCAAGGGGGGAAAAATAAACCCCAAAATCAAGAAAATAACTGCTTATTTTCCTACCACCTTGTCAACAAAAGATGTCAGCAATTTTCCATCTCTGCCAACCTGATCTCAGTAAGACTTTTCTAAAAAATCGCATGGATAATAGGAATTATCATGTCACTATCATACATGACATACTGTTTCTTGTTTTGTTTTACTTTGAACTGACTGCCATACAGAAGTTCTCAATTTTCAGGAAGTCAAATTTATCTACCTCTTCCTTTTTCTTAATCCCATGTTAACTGAAAACAAATGAACCTCAAAACTGGTCTTAACTGCACTGTCACTTTTTTTGGAACAGGAATTACAGAAAGCACTTACTTTTGCTGCTTTCTTGTCTCCTTCAGTGCGTACACCTAGAAGCCGTCTAAGCAGGAAATAGGAAATTTCCAGTTCTGTGAAGATCTCAGGTAAAGCTCCAACTGCACCAAGTACCTGCCCCACCATTCTGTCAGCCCGGCACAAAGTGGGGTCAATTTTTGTTCCGACTCCTAATACAAAATAAGATATACATTTTATTGTTCAACATTGTATTTCCTATAAAGCTGTTTACCCAAAAGACTTAGTCAAACAAGTACAGCATATACCTATACATTTTAATACACACTTATATTTTCATATTCATGTATTAGCTATAGATGTGACAAAATACCTGTTTTATCTGAAGAAACAGAACTGTAAACTCATGGGTTAGTTGGGCATTTGAGAACAGAAAGATTCTGTTGATTTAAATACTAAGCAAAGGACAAACAGAGCTAAGAGCCTAACTCAAAAATGAGCCTGAATATCCTTAATGAAGGTTGAAAAGATACGCAATTCATAATGAGTAGTTTTCAGGATATTTGCCTGCCATTTCTCCCCTGGAAGGCTGATCAAAAAGATAGCTTAAAGACTTTATATGATTCCTGGGATCCACTTCAAAATATTTTATCCGTATGTCTTTCAAGGAGAAGAGCGAAGAAGATACAAAGATGAGGCAAGAATAGTAAAGTAGGGCTTCCCTGCTGGCGCAGTGGTTGGGAGTCCGCCTGCTGATGCAGGGGACACGGGTTCATGCCCCGGTCCGGGAAGATCCCACATGCCACGGAGCAGCTGGGCCCGTGAGCCATGGCTGCTGAGCCTGCGCATCCAGAGCCTGTGCTCCGCAATGGGAGAGGCCACAGCAGTGAGAGCCCCGTGTACCGCAAAAAAAAAAAAAAAAAAAAGAACAGTAAAGTATTGGGAATTCCTGGCAGTCCAGTGGTTAGGAGTTGGTGCTCTCACTGCCATGGGCCCAGATTCCAGGGAACTAATATCCCACAAACCGCGTAGCGTAGCCAAAGTAAAAAAAAGAGTGGTAAAGTATTAACTGTTGAACCTGGGTGGTGGCTACATGACCGCACATTACACTACATTACACTATTCTCTCACTTTTATGTTTGAAAAGTTCCGTAAGTTAAATTTTAGAAGTCTCCAGAGTGTCCTTGTTTACAAAACAAACAATAAGGATAAAATTATACATGGTAAACTCCTAATTACAAGATACAATAGAAAAATGAATTATATAGCCAAACACCAGAGAACAAAAAGGCAAACTCCTTCAACAAATGTTTTCTTCTTTAATCCAAAAGTTATAATACCTCTAATTCTCACTGTATCTTGCCTTTTTCTGGGTATCTGGTAACACACTATTGTATGAGATGAGAAGATCCATAAATTATCTCAGTAATTCCAATATAATGGAAGTTATCTTCTTTAATTCCCACCTCAGTGTAACTATGATCTGACATGATCCAGCTGACACTTGTGGATAACTCTTCATTTGCAAAACATACATTAAAAAAAACAAAAACAAAAAACCACCACCACTCTACCCCCAAAACCATGTAGGCTAAAAAAAAAAAGTATAGTTAGGTTTTTTGTTTTTGTTTTTGTTTTTTTTGTAGTACCTGGGCCTCTCACTGTTGTGGCCTCTCCCGTTGTGGAGCACAGGCTCCGGACGCGCAGGCTCAGCGGCCATGGCTCACGGGCCCAGCCGCTCCACAGCATGTGGGATCTTCCCGGACCGGGGCACGAACCCGTGTCCCCTGCATCGGCAGGCGGACTCTCAACCACTGCGCCACCAGGGAAGCCCTAGTTAGGTATTTTAAATGATAGGACATAAAACTTAGTTACTGCTAAAATGGAGCTACTTTAAAAACTAAACCAAGGGCTTCCCCGGTGGCACAGTGGTTGAGAGTCTGCCTGCCGATGCGGGGGACACAGGTTCGTGCCCCGGTCCGGGAAGATCCCACATGCCGCGGAGCGGCTGGGCCCGTGAGCCATGGCTGCTGAGCCCGCGCATCCGGAGCCTGTGCTCCGCAACAGGAGAGGCCACAACAGTGAGAGGCCCGCGTACAGAAAAAAAACAAAAAACAAAAAAACAAAACTAAACCAAAGTTCTACTTTATGTTTAAAATTAAATTTTACAAACACATGAAACCATCTTATGACCTAAAATCAACAGCTTAACCACATATGTTCCTCTACCCCATTCAATTATTAAACATCAAATTAAAAATCTATATCTTTATGAGTAATATGTTTCTCATGAAAAGTACCATGAATATCCACAAATTAAAAACGTAGGGATGAGAGAAAATTCTTTACCAATAAGACCTCCTGGAGCAGCATACTGAAGATCATTATGCTCTGCGAAAAGTGATACAATTTTGGAAAAGATGGGTTTACACATGAGCTTTCCTTCACTATCTTTGGAAACAATACCAGGTCTGACTTCTATCTCCTGGCCCACCTGTAAAAATATAAATTAGTGATTAGAATTTGTGGGACAACACGATTTCCATTACATACAAAAAGTCCTAACAGGAAGACCACAAAACTGAAAAGCAATCCTTTCTCTATTTCAAAGATCACAATTAAAAAAAATAAGATATGGGAGAGATCTTCAAAACCAGAACCATCCAAATGTTTCAAACTACCTATCACACAGGCCTATCACCATATAAAATGTGCTCCATATTCATAGAAGCCTATAAAGTTAGAGGTCAAACACACTCAAAAGATATAATAGTAAACAAAGAAGTCTATATCAAGTACTAGACACCATGAAGAAAAAAATTATTTTTCAATTTGGAGTGTTCATACTATTTTCCTAATTAAGACAAGAGAAAAACAAACAAAATAAAAACACAACAACCAAAACCTAGTTTACCTTTAATACTCCTTTTAGAATACTACCACCAGCTACACCCCCCTTAAGGTCATCAACTTCACAGCCAGGTTTGTTGACATCAAAGGATCTAATAACTAAAAAAAAACAAAACAAATTAAAGCCAATTCTGTTCACTTTAACTTCAGAAAAATTTGATTAAGTTAACTTCTCTAAAATAGTAGACACATAAGATTTATACAAGGGGGACCTTGTGACAAAATCTAATATTATTCCAACTAAGTATACTGCAACCTTAATTACAATGGAAAAAGTGGAAATAACTTAAAAGTTCATTGATAGGAGGCATATTTTGGTACACCCATAGTGTGGAGTATCATGCAGCTATTAAAAAAGAATGTTAGAGCACATGTAATGATGTGGAAGGATAACCTTCATATATTGTTAAGGAAAAAAGAAAAAACTAGTTATGCATAGTATGATCCCACTTCCACAAACAAAAACTAAAACAAGAAATGTGTATATGTTTATATATGATGATATGAACAAAGAGAAAGGTGCGGGAATAGTACACACCAACTGTTAACTTTGGTTACTTCAGGGCTAAAGGGCGAGGCAGGGAGACTGTAGACCTTTTTCTTCATATACCTCTATATTATATGATTTCTGCATTAAAAATGTAGTTTTAAAACTTCAAAACAACCCTAGGATTGGACTTCCCTGGTGGCACAGTGGTTAAGAATCCACCTGCCAATGCAGGGGACAAGGGTTCAATCCCTGGTCCGGGAAGATCCCACATGCCACAGAGCAACTAAGCCCGTGCGTCACAACTACTGAGCCTGCACTCTAGAGCCCACGAGCCACAACTACTGAGCTGGCGCACCTAGAGCCCGTGCTCCGCAATGAGAAGCCTGTGCACCACAACGAAGAGTAGCCCCAGCTCGCCGCAACTAGAGAAAGCCCACACACAGCAACAAAGACCCAACACAGCCAAAAGATTAATTAATTAATTAATTAATTAAAAACAAAAAACAAAAAACCCCACAACCCTAGAACTATGTGACCTGCACTTCGGTCCTGAGAGCAGTGATCATTAAGAAGGGGTACACATCACAATTACCCAAGAGAACCCTTCCCACAACACACAGAGGGGGGACTGGATGAAGGGAGAGGTTCAAATGTCTGTTTTGAAAAGGCTCCTATATCTATGTAGAAATCACGAGTTTGGATGATCAAATTATACCAATATTGGTACTATGAACTTAAATAAGTTGAAAGAGATGAAAATCTTCATTAATGGTAAAATGAAATAATTTGTATGGAAATTCTAATATCCTGCTCCTGACTAAAACATAATTCCTTACAGAATAATGCATTACTCCATCTCAATCACATAACATATCACATACCAAGCACAAAAAGACTAAAAGTTCCTTCTGTATTCAAAACTTTCTCTCATCAGTAATGCAATCTAGTACAGCTAATACAATCTCAGAATTAACTGAGTTCAAAAAAATTTTATGGAGATTGTAATTTATTATCACCTCTGCAGAAATCATTGCTGATTCCCTTAAAGAGAAATCACCAATGTGGAAAAGATCAGACAAAATCCTATCACTTACCAATAAGTCGGGGTTCTGAAGTAAAGTCTCTTGGGGGTACTGGAATTTTCTTTACTATGTACTCACAGACAACTTCAATATTGTATTTTAGCTGAGCAGAAATTGGAATAATAGGAGCTCCTTCTGCTACTGTACCTGTAAGACAAAATTCAGAAAGATCAAAATTCTTCAGTTTTACAGAACTTGTTCTTTACATATTATAGGAAACAGTTAAGATTACTAAAATAGATGCCTAAACATCCCCAAATACCAGCAACAGGTAGAAAATGATAAGTCTTTTTAGAAAAGGGTCAGTAGTATTCTGTTTGTTTTTGCTCCTGAAAATAAATACTATTGCATTTAAGGGAAAAAAAGTCAAAATATATTAATAGATATATTTAATACACCAAAATGATAAAACTGCTCAAAAGAATAAAATACTAACACTCCTGGGAAAGAGCACTTTACTAGTTGAAATATTTCTGATAACATATAATTAACTTCCCAATAAATGTCAAGATAAAATTATAGACTCTGCTAATCAAAGACTGATGGCATATATAGTATTTGCTCCTTATTAATTAAATGTCAAACAGGCTGGTGAAAGAAACGGACCAAACACAATGAGGTTTTAATCAAAATGATTTATTCTTTTTTGTTATGAGAGAACTAGGTGCATAGGAAATCAACCTTTCTAGCAAGAAAAACAAGGCTAAGAGAGGATCAAATGTCAATAATAAGATGTCTTCCCTGAAATGAAAAACACTGCTGTTAGAGGAAAGGAATACTGAAAGATAAAATAAATCATTGTCAGTTTCAATTCTAAAAGTAGCTACTCAGTAAGAACAGTGTAAGACTGAAGGTTTTTTTTATGGATTTTTAAAAAAATTAATTAATTAATTATTTTGGCCATGTCGCGTGGCTTGCGGGATCTTAGTTCCCCGACCAGGGATTGAACCCACTCCCTCGGCAGTGAAAGTGCAGAATCCTAACCACTGGACCGCCAGGGAATTCCGAAGACTTAAGGCTTTTTTTTTTTTTTTTTTTAAATGCTTTTGTTCATTTTACTATCACTGAGGAGGATTTTTATTAGATATTAATGGCTTCTTACCTTGTACAAATGCAAGGATCTGTTCATACTGTTCTTTAGCCTGGCTTTCTTTTACCAAATCAATTTTATTTTGTAGAATCAAAATATGCTTCAGTTTCATGATTTCTATAGCAGCCAGGTGTTCAGAAGTCTGGGGCTGAGGACAAGACTCATTACCAGCTAAATGATAAAGAATAAAAAAGATGCATGAGAATTAGCTAGAAATATCTGTCAGAATAGGCAAATCCATAAGAGACAGAAGGCAGGTTAGTGGTTGCCAGGGACTGAGGGAAAGGGGGGATCAGAGTGATTGCTTAATGGGCACCGGGTTTCCTTTTGGGGTGATGAAAATGTTCCAGAACTAGACAGTGCTGACACTTGTAGAACACTGTGAATGTACTTAATATCACTGAATTGTATACTTTAAATGGCTAAAATGCTAAATTTTGTTATGTGTATTGTACTACCAAAAAAACACTAGCTGACATCTAAAAAAGGAAACGTTTGAATGCACTAGCCCTACTCAAGGCAAAAGTCCTGGATCGTTGCCAAGCATCCACCTTTGCCCCTGCTTCATCCACTGTGCCTGGATTCACTGGAGCCTCCGGATCATTTGGCTCTCTTCCCTGGTCCTAAGCCAAAAGCTTGGACTCAACAAGTTTGACATCTCAGGGTCTGCCCTTAGCTTTTGCTCAGGCATAAGGAAGAGCCCTCTGGCTCTGTCTAGTCTTAGAGACGTTCTGGCCCAGTCAAGCTCCTGAGAGGCAGAGAGTAATTAAGGGAAGACACTTAACACAGTCCATGAATTTCAGCTACTATCAGAGGCTACTCCCTAACAAACCGAGGGAAGAACACTAAAAACAACCACTGGTATTATAAAGAAATAGGTATGTTTTTTGGGCATCTTAATGACCATCCTAAGTGATGACGTTCAGGTGTCCTGTACTATATCCACTCGGCATACTTTTAAAAATTATATCCCATAGCAACAAAATCTCTTAACAGCTCACATAAGGAAGGTGGCACAACACCAGCCTTGAAAACCCCAATTCATCTAGACTTCAGCACTTATTATGAATGAGATTTGCATCTAAATAAAACCATTATACACCAGTGTTGCAGTAGACAACTCAAAGATGCACACACAAAAAAATACATGCACTTTTACATGTAAATATAAAACTAATAAATCATTTCATGTGATCTAAGGGGAGAAAATGCACTATTGATTTTTTCAAATATATACTACCAAAAGAATTCTCACAAGACATCTGCCCTAGGCCTATCTTTAGTATTTTGTGATAGCTGGTAGACTAGGATATCATCCTGGTTGACATGTTAGTTCCCATTTCCGTCACCTTTAGGTACTGGATGTGGCCCTTAAAGGCCTTAGCTTCCCTTTAAATAGTCCATCTTGGATTTGCTCCACAATGATTTGTCCAAACCAGTTCTGACGTATTTACCTATCAACAGAAGAGCTGCATCCATCACTGCGGCACCATTCAGCATAGTAGCCATCAAAATATCGTGGCCAGGACAGTCAACAAAGGAAACATGTCTAACAATTAAAAAACAGCAATCAGTCCTAAGATCAATCAATACTTCAACATTCAAGTTACAGATTTCCTAAAATTAAATCCCTTTATATATAGAATATGAATATTACATATAAATATGAAATAAGAATATGGAAATAATTCTTATTTCTGTAAAGTCAAGTGGTTACAGGACTTGGTGTTTCTAGACCTCAGAAATAAGATTACCTACTGGCTCAATTATACTTAAAAAAAACAAACAAAAAAACTCATAGAAAAAGAGATCAGATTTGTGATTACCAGATCTGTGGTTACCAGAGGTGGGGGATGGAGGAAGGGGGAATCGAATGAAAGCAGTCAAAAGGTACACACTTTCAGTTATAAGATAAATAAGTACCAGAAATATGACATACAATATGATATAGTTAACACCACTGTTTGTTATACATGAAAGTTGTTAACAGAATAAATCTTGAGTTCTCATCATAAGGAAAAAATTTTTTCTACTCATTTAAGTTTATATGAGATGATGGATGTTCACTAAACTTATTATGATCATCATTTCACGACACATGTAAGTCAAATCATTATGCTGTACACCTTAAGCTTATACAGTTCTGTATGTCAATTATATCTCAAGAAAACTGGAGGGAAAAAATATGAAAAGAACAACAACAAAAATTACCTACTGGCTGAGAGTAAAATCACTGCAGATCATTACAAAGCAAATGAAATTAGCTATGTGTAGAAATAACAGGATACATTAACTCCCAAATCCAATCAAAGTGAATATGGCATAAAGTATATACTGGGAATGTCACTGATTTGAAAGCTAAACCAGTGTTAACAGAATGGGCAGTGCCATCTGAAAAAATTTACCAAAAACTTCTCTAGCATCTTGAAAAGTTAAAATTGCCCATCTGAAGTGCAGATGGCAGCACCATTTAAACAAAATTATGCTACTCATTCGGAATCATTATTTTTAATAATTGTATGTTCACACTCACGATCTAAAATAGGGGCAGCAGACTGGCCCACTGCCATAACCACTCATGCACATCATGTCTGCTTTCACAACACAATAGAAGAAATGAGTAGTTGCAAAGAGAATCTATGGTCTGCAAAGCTGAAAATATTTACTATTGGGCCCTTTGCAGGAAAAGTTTGCTGATATCTGATAAGGGCCACAAGTAGGGTGAGGCAAGTGAGCCACTCGCCCTAGGTGCAAAATTTAAGGGAGTGCCCAAAAAAACCCAGTAATCAAAACAAACAATATTTAAATTTAATATTTAAAAAAATCAAAATTCATGCAAAAAATCCATGATGAACAAAATATCAAAAATTTAAATGAAAACAGGATCAGCAACAATGCCACGTCAAAAGCAAATCAACCAAAAAACCCCAAGTGATAATGAAAAGGAAAACACTAATAGTTTGAGCTGTCAGGGAACTAAGATCCCACAAGCTGCACGGTGGGGCCAAAAAAAATTTTTTTTTAATTTAAAACTAAATAAATAAATAATACTATTTATCTTGATTACCGAGGCTCTTTTTCTTTTCTTTTCTTTTCTTTTTAAAGCTTCTCCCTCCCCTTAAACTTTGGGCTTCATTCGCCTCTCCCTAGTCCCAGCTCTGTCCCAATCTACAATTTCTTTGCAGAATATCCCCAACCCCCATAAACATCGCTGGGTGGATGACAGTATCCTCTAATAAAGAATAAGTATACGCAATCATATTCAGAAAACAGATGGGTAACAAGCCCGTGTATTTAAAAAACGTGATTAAGAATGGCTTTGTTCTCCTCTAAGAAACAGAAACAACACTGTTTAAGAGAAACTTAGGAGGCCTGGCAAAAAGAATCCCTTATATCCAATGAGCCGTGTTTCCCTCCATTTCATTCTGCTTATGTGATACTTTTCCTTTGGAGAACTTACATGTACATCTCAATGTAGGTTTAAATACTTGACTTTTCAAATTATTGTCATCATGGACAAGAAAAACAAAATAATGCAAAAATAAAGCATTCAACAGTTAGGTTCACTGTTTAAAGTCTCAGTTAAATATTTCAAAAAGCACAAATCACACAACAACAAAATATGAAGTGTAAAGTGTTTTTAGCAGAAAAGAGGTCACCTGACTAGTCTGAAGTTCCCTTTGGTCCCTGGAATGTCTGTAGGAAACTCATCGGGTGTACTACTTCCACAGGATCTATAACATTCTGGCCGAGGACAACTTGGGTCGTCAAGTTTATAAATCTAAAAGTTTCAATGAAAAATAGACTTGGATTTGTTATCTGCACATTCAACAATTAAAGTTAGTTTCTAATTTCACTGTACACAGCTCACCTTAGCATTAGCATAGCCAAGTTTGATTGTAATATTTCTTTCTAGTTCATTTTTGAACCTGACAGTGTGAACTCCAGAAATAGCTTTTACAACTGTAGACTTCCCATGAGCTACATGACCAATTGTACCTATAGACAAAGTACAAAAAATTAATTCACGTGCATTCAGTTACACAACATATTTTTTCAGTTTTAGAGTAGAAAACCCAAAACCATAACTCACTGTAAACATCAATGTAAAACTAATAGTGACTTCAATTTCTCCTCTTACACATCCTTGATTACAAAAAACTTAACTCTGATACAGGACTGAGGAGAACGTTCCATGTAACCGACAATCTTGTTTTAAACCATACTCAGCATAATAAAAGCTATCCATCTTATGTTTTTACTCACAGAAAAGAATGCCTTCATTTAAAATAAACACTTGGTAAAAAGCACATGAAATCCTGTATATCAAGAAACTTTCCAGCATTTTCAGAGTGAAGTAAATAGGTATGAGGAGCCCTCACACAACAAAAAGGAATCCATGAAAACAAGGAAACAACTCAGGTATCATTATGGTAATGCTGTCAAGGGTAGCACATATCTTACAAGTTTTTTTTTTTTTTTATCTTATAAGTTTTTAACAGCCTCATGGTAGAGCCTTACTTTTAACTAGGCTTTACTGTGTTGTTTGTGCAGACTCTCAAATACCCCAAATTTACAATCAGTCAACATAACTTCTTCTCTAAAGTTCTATGTGCCAATTAAGAAAAAAAAATTATCTAGTTAATAATAGCTTATGTATCAAACAAAACTTCCGCAAACTCTGCCCTTGCAATAACCCTGTGCGGCAAGTACAGTCGCGTTTCCCTCTCTTCTTTAAAATGCTACATGACTACAATCACCTTATGCTATTAAACTTTTCTTACGTATTTATCGCTTCTTCTCACCTAGTCTGTAAGCTAGGCACGGGCAACATGGGCTTCCCAAAAATATCTAGCAGGTGCTTGGCTCGCAAGAGCTGAACATCTATTTATTGAATATCTGCATCTTCATGTAATTCAGGTAATCACACAAAGGGAGAGGTTAAAATTAGTAGCCGGAGATCAATTAAGTCAGGTCTCCAAGTTATTCTTATCTTACCTATATTAATTGTGGCCTGTCTGCTGATAACTTCATGTGAAAGTGGCGTCAACTTGGTAACATCCTGCAATCGAACATTTTTATTTTAAACCGCTGTACATAAGACAAATCACAATTTTGACTTTACATTTGCTACCTACAGCTCTCTACCATTTGAATAGCCCTCTTCTACTTCTAAAGCGCTTTTTCTGTACAAGTAACCTTGGACTCTGATGACTGGGAAGCCCTAAAAGTCCTTCATCGTTACACACTACCTATGGGGGATGTGGAAGCTTGACGTCCCCCAACCTTGAGAGCATTAGCACTAAGGACAGTGCAGATACTCCCTTCCCAGACCTCCCGAACTAAAAAGCCTTAATGACACTTAACACTGTGACTTTCCAGCCGAATCATTCGGGAGGCTCGGGGTCCCACAACCGCATAGCCTCATTCCCAGCTCACATACTAGCAGAGGCGCATGGGGCGGCGCGAGCACGACTTAGGGCGCCGGGCTCCGGGTCTCCCTCCTAACCCATGCTCCCGACAGCCCGGCACTGCCTCGTCTCAAAGCCTCCCGGAAGGCCCGGTCATCCCCACTCGTGAGCTCCTTCAGCATCCTGCCAGAGCGATGACTTACCAAAGTGTTGAGATCTTGCCGAGACAGGTGCGGCTGCCCTAAAGTCACACCAGCCTCGCCCCCCGCCATCTTGCCCGGAGAGGAAGGAAGTCGTCCGGGTGGCTGCCTGACTGTTCGCAAGCCCTCCTGTGCAGGGCGGGGCAGCGGAGGCGGGAGGGCCGACTAGGGCCCAGGCCTGGCAGAGGAGGATGGCCGGTGCAGCGGAGGCCTCACTGCTTGGACTTTTCTCTCCATGGGTTTGTACAGTGCCTGCCGGCAGGCTGACTAGAAAACACAAGGTCAGTTTCAGGATCTATTCGCAACAGACCTGTTGCCTATTTATGCAGGCAACGGTAAGGGCAGCCCTAAAAAAGGCCCCTTGCTAGGCAGGCGATGCAACCGACGCGCGCGCTGGGGAGGGTGTAGCCATTTCCGTTTCCCGTGGGGCGGGCCGAAAGAATTTCCCGAAACCTGGGATTCTTTTCTGGGGTGTGAGGATAGACACTGGGAATGTCGTTCTTTACCGATTTCTATAATTTAGTAAGGCGAGATCAGCTCCGGGTCCGGCAGGGGCCCTTGGCCGGAAAGTGGCCGCGCACCGAGCTGGCGGTGGGGAGGGCGCCCTCACGCGGAGGTTCCGCGGCCCAGGGAGGGCAAAAGCAAAGTCTCTAACTTGCTCTCGGAGGGAGGTTTCTAGAGCCAGGGAGGTGGTCCATGGTGGCGCTAATGGAGCTAGCACTGGATAGAAGTTAGGTGTCGTGAGAGCGCCCCAATTTTTTTTTTAAGCCGATCCGAATTTCCATCTCTATTTTCTTTACTCTTTCTTGTTTCTAAATATTCAATGTACTTTTTCTGCAGCTGATGAAAAGTGAAGGTCTTCAAATGTCATGTTTGAGAGTACAGATAGTATTCAGTGGAAATTGGGAGTCATCAAATATGTTTTTTTATCCCAAGAACATAAAACAATCTGTACATACATATTTTTTGTAAATCTTAAATGTAAGAAAATAGTTAAAAATCACCTGCTCTAAAATCAAATGTAAAATTATTCTTTGGGGATTTGTTTTTTAAAACAGTGAAAAAAGCAAAGAGTAGTGAATATACTAAAGATATTTATAATCTCTGACTTATTTTAATATACTTGGAATTTTGTTTCTGGTAAGAGCTATTGCTTTCTTGTTTGACTTACTGATTTTCAGTAAAATGTGCATATAATAACAACAAACTATTCTGTATGAAAAAAACAAATCCAAGAAAACCCACTTCTTCACTGGAACAATTACCAATAAATCGGTATTTTAAAATTTATAAAGATTTTTGAGACTTTATTAACCCCTTTTTCATCGTGTTAAAAAGAATTACAGTAAGTTTCATTTCTCTTCATGCATTTCTACACTTTACAAATTTTCTATCATGTACAGGTCTTCATTTCTAGCCAGAAAAAAATGTAAGGAGAAATGAGTAAGTATTTCAGTTACCTGTGGTCATTGAATACTTAAGCAAGATTAAAATTAATATATGTTTTCTATCTGAGAAAGACAAATACCATATGATATCACATGCGGAATCTAAAATATGACAAATGAACTTATCTACGAAACAGACTCACAGACATAGAGAACAGACTTCTGGTTGCCAAGGGGGAGGGGGAGTCAGGGAGGGATGGATTGGGAATTTGGGATTAGCAGATGCAAACAATTATATATAGGATGGGTAAACAACAAGGTCCTACTGTATAGCGCAGGGAACTATATTCAACATCCTGTAGTAAACCATAATGGAAAGGAATATGAAAAAGAATGTATATATATGTATAACTGAATCACTTTGCTGTACAGCAGAAATTAACACATTGTAAATCAACTATACTTCAATAAAATAAACATTTTATAAACATATGTTTACATATATAAAACATATATTTTTATATATATATATGTTTTCTATCACACAAGTTTGGGGTACAACGGTTAACCTAAAATAGTAAGTTGCATTTCAATAAATGCATTCATTGGTTAAGTGATGGTAGAAACTGTACAATATATTGTATTTGGGTGGAGGCACTTAATTCCTAAATTTGAACAAATTTAACTTCTAAATTTATAAGTTCCTAAATTTCGAATTTATCTTACATTCTAACTAGTTATACCGTACCAGCCAATCAGAAAACCCATTGAGGTAATAAAGATGTGGAATTAGTGGTGATGGTTACACAACAGCAAATATACTAAAAAACAGTGAATTGTACTGTTTAAAAGGGTGAATCTCATGGTATGTGAATTATATCTCAATAAAAAAATAAAATTTGTTGGTAATAGTATATAATATGCTTCACTGTCAGAAACTTTTATTGGAAGTAGAAATGTCACTGAAAATAATGCTATTAATAATAGTATTAACATTGGCTCCAACTTGGGGAATTCCCTGGAGGTCCAGTGGTTAGGATTCGGTGCTTTCACGGCCCGGGCCTGGGTTCAATCGCTGGTCGGGGAACTAAGATCCCACAAGCTGCAAGGCACGAGAAGAAAAAAAAAAAAGTATACCATTCAATGCTTTTAAGTAAATTTACAGAGTTGTGCAACCATCACCACAATCCAGATTTTGAACATTTCCATCACGCCAAAGAGATCCCTCATGTCAACCCCATTTGCAGTCAATCCCCGTATCCATCTCTGGCCCCAGGCAACCACTAGTGGTCTTTCTCTATATATAGATTTGCCTTTTCTGGACATTTTATATAAATGGAATTATACAATATGTGGTCTTTTGCTTCTGGCTTCTCTCACTTAGCATAATGATTTTGAGGTTCATCCATGTTGTAGCATCTATCAGTAGTAGTTCATGCCTTTCTATTGCTGAATATAATTCCATTTTATGGACATACCACTTTTGTTGATCCATTCACCAGTTGATGGATACTAGGATTGTTTCCACTTTTTGGGTGTTGTGAATAATATTGCTATGAACATTTGTGTACAAGTTTTTATGAGAACATATTTTCCTTTATGTTGGTAAATATCTATGTGTGCATTTGCTGAGTCCTATGGTAAATCTATGTTTAACATCTTGAGGAACAGCCAAATTTTTCCAAAGTGGCTGCACCATTTTACATTCCCAGCAGTAACATATGAGAGCTCCAGTTTCTCCACACCCTTACCAATGCTTGATATTGTCTCTTCTTTTTATTGTAGACATTCTAGTAGATGTGGTTTTAATTTGCATTTCTCTAATGACTATGTTGAACATCTTTTCATGTACTTAATAGCCATTCATATCTCTTCTTTGGTAAAATATCTATTTAAACCCATTTTAAAATTGGGTTGTTTATCTCATTATTGAGTTGCAAGCGTTCTTTATATATTCTGGATACAAGTCTTCATCAGATGCATGATTTGCAAATGTTTTCTCCCAGTCTGTAGCTTGTCTTTTCATTTTTTTAATGGTGTCTGTGAAGAACAAAAGTTTCTACCTTTGATGAAGTCCAATTTATTTCTTCTTTTATGAATCTTGCTTTTGGTGTCAAATTTAAGAACACTTTGCCTAACCCAAGGACACAAAGATTTACTCCTATGTTTTCTTTTTTTAAAATTAATTAATTTATTTATATTTGTGGCTGCATTGGGTCTTCGTTGCTGTGCGCGGGCTTTCTCTAGCTGTGGCGAGCAGGGGCTACTCTTCTCTGCGGTGCGTGGCTTCTCATTGCGGTAGCTTGTCTTGTCGCAGAGCACGGGCTCTAGGCGCGCAGGCTTCAGTAGTTGTGGCTCATGGGCTCTAGAGCGCAGGCTCAGTAGTTGTGGCATACACAGTCTTAGTTGCTCCACAGCATATGTGATCTTCCTGGACCAGGGCTCGAACCCGTGTCCCCTGCATTGGCGGGTGGATTCTTAACCATTGTGCCACCAGGGAAGTCCCCTACTCCTATGTTTTCTTCTTAAAGGTTTATGGTTTCAGCTCTTACCTTTTGGGTCTGTGATCTATTTTGTGTATAGTGTGGTTTAACTCCATATTTTTGCATGTAGTTATCCAATTGTACCAGCACTATATATTGAAAAGACAATCCTTTTCCTATGGAATTGCCTTGGCACCTTTGTCAAAAATAAATTAACCAAGGACTTCCCGGGTGGTCCAGTGGCTAAGCCTCTGTGCTCCCAATGCAGGGGGCCCGGGTTTGAGCCCTGGTTGGGGAACTAGATCCCACATGCTGCAACTAAGAATTCGCACGCCGCAACTAAAAAAAAAAAAAAAAAAAAAAAGATACCGCATGCCATAACGAAGATCCTGCATGCCTCAACTAAGACCTGGCACAGCCAAATAAATATTTTTTAAAAAAAGAAATTGACCATATAAATGTTTATTTCTGGACTCTCTATTCTGTTCCATTGATCTACATGTCTATCCTTATGCCAGTACCACAATGTCTTGATTTCTGTAGTTTTATAGTACATTTTGAATTTGGAATGTTTAAGTCCTTTAACTATGTTCTTTTTCAAAACTGGTTTGGCTCTTCTAGAGCCTTTGTATTTCCATATAAATTTCAGGATCAGCTTGTCAATTTCTGCAATAAAGCCTGCTGGGTTTTTGATAGGGATTTTATTTTGGGGGGGATTATATCCTTTTACTCCTTTGGATGCTCTCCTCTTCCTAAATACCCCCAAATTCTTAGCATATATTTCTTAGGAATAATAATATAAATAAATATTTACTGTTTACCAGGCATGGTGCTGAGTGGTTTACAGTCCTTATTGCATTTGTTCCTTACAATTACCCTTGGAGGACCCACCACCGATCCACCGATGGATTGCCGATCTGCCCAGCTCTCCCGTGCGCCATGTCTGGTTCCTCCAGCGTCGCCGCTATGAAGAAAGTGGTTCAACAGCTCCGGCTGGAGGCCGGGCTCAACCGCGTGAAGGTTTCCTAGGCAGCTAAAGATTTGAAACAATTCTGTCTGCAGAATGCTCAACATGACCCCCTGCTGACTGGAGTATCTTCAAGTACAAATCCCTTCAGACCTCAGAAAGTCTTACTTTTTGTAGTAGAATGAATCTTTGCAAGGTTTTTAAACCGCTTTTCATAAACTGGTGAGTATTCGAAGGAAAG